ATAATGTAGTGCGATCTTTTGCCTTTGATTTCCATGGGAAAACGGCATGATTTTTTTTTTAAATCAAGAAATTATTTGTTTTCGAAAGATAAATTATTCTTCAATGCTCAGTTTAACACTTTTACGGTGATAAAAGCTCATTGTCTAAAACTTACGAAACACAGACGTATTCAGAAAGAGTATTGACAGAGGTCGCCGCCAGAACAAAAGCAGTTTCATTGCCTGTCTGACATCTTATCACCGCTGAACAATAAATAGGTGTGAATATTTTTAGGCATGTTGTCGAAACAAATGAATAGGATTTAGGAACAATGCCGTTTTGGAACAGCTGGTTGAAACAATGAAGTCAGTCACGGTCTTGTTGAATTGGGGGTGCGGTTAGTAATAGGTACTTTTCAAGTTTTCAATTTTTGTTAAGAACTCTTTAACCCCGAAGCCGGAATTGGGGGTGCGGTTACTATTACGTATGCGGTTTATATTAGGACTTTAACGGTAATATGTAAAATTGCTATTCACAGTACTCCCCTGTCAATGACTGTATTTTTCTGTTTTATGCATTAGATGGTGCACAGTTGCCTCTAGAGCATGTTCCACCACGTGCAGTAAATCTTCCTTATGCTGTTCCAAGACGACATGCTACTCCCAATATGCTAGAAAGACAAGGATCATTTCGAGGGTTTCCAGGTCTTGCCAAAGATTCACCGTTCAAGAGGCAGTTGTCTCTTCGACTCAACGAGCTACCATCTACATTAGCAAGACAAAAAGATCTTAATATTTTACCAGAAGAGAATGGTAAGTTTTAAGATATTCAATAAATCATATTATTTTACATCTGTCACCATAATGCCATAAGTTACAGCCTGCCGTAATTTTTTGATATTTTACAGGGTATTTTCATAATTCCATATTAGCAAATGCGAAATATGGAATGATTACACATGTAAGCGTCCTCTAATAATAAAAACAATCATGACTGCCACCAGAGTTTGACCGGACTCCACACAAAGTTCACTGATT